TCAAAATTTTGAAACAAAATTTAGATATGAAATCTTTACCGTGTATGTGGCGTTTTGATGTCAAAAAATGCATTGACTCAAAATTTGGACGATCAAACCCCCTTTGATATTTGTTGACGGATCATCAATATTTTGAAGCATGCGTGGGCTTCTGTCATTTTCATTTCGCACCGACCGCCAAGGTGTGCGGATTACCATTTCTGAGAAGAAAGCGACAGAAAAGAAATGTAATGGACAGGCGTTCACTTGATGAAATGGATGAACGCATCACTATGGGGTATCCATTTGAAGGAAGTTACGAAAGTCCTCTGGTCCGTTGGCCCGTAACGTGACCGTACTCTCGCCGCTTCAAAAAACGGTCTTTCGACCATATCCTTCGCGGCCATTCGTCGGAGTCCAAAGCGAGAATTAACTTTTATTGATACAAATTGTGACTTGTAAACTTTTAAAAAACAAATGTGAACGGAAAGGCGGATGGGGAAAACGACATAATACGTTTACATAATCAGCTTAGTGGGCATAATTCTGTGAAAGAAAAGCCGAAAATTTCAGCCATTTTGGAATATGACGGCCATTTTAAAAATTTAAGTGGCTAACGTGAATTGTCTTTAATCATGACCACAATCAAACACCTATGTAAATTTGAGTGCTTGGATCCAGATTCGGTCGAAGGTCTGAATACCATCACAACACCATCCTTGGAAACTCAATTGATAATCAAAATAGCTCTTGGTAACAAATGGGAGGCAACTGTCCATATTTATTAAATCAATATTATTATTATTCAAACAATAGGGTGTTGCCATAAGACAGTTAAATAACATGCCTTGTTTAAAACATTCCATTACTTCCACAATTGGTATGGATGTTTTACTATTATAAAAATAACCATTTCTTTAAAAAGAAATCTTTTCGTAACGGAAGCGTGGAAGTAGGACAAGAATTCCAGCAAATGATTATTTGAAAACTAAACACATGCACTAAAATGTGTTAATTTCCTATTTAACCAGTTAAAGAATATATTGTATCATTTGTAATGAATTGTATTATTCTGTAGTATTCGGGATATGAAATGAAACGAGGTTTAACGTTGAACATCTACTATCTTCAGGTTGTTTTAGTTAAACATACAGTGCCGGACTGGGCCCACCTGTCCACAGGTGGGCCTAAGCTCATTAAAAAAAGTGGGCCTAAGCCTATAACGAAAAAAGAAAAAAGAGAAAGAAAACAGAAAGAAAGGAGAGGCGGGGAGAAAAGAAAGAAGGAAGGAGAGGACAGGGCACAGGACAGGAGAAAGAAAAGATAGGAAAAAAATGACTGACAAACAACACAAAAAATGAAGTGTACTAGAATTCTCAAATTCATCTAATGATAGTGCTCTTAGGTCATTCTGTTATCTAATTGTATCAGGAAATCAAAAATTTGCCTTCTTCTGCTTTGGTCTGAAATGCTTGGAAAATGGTTTTGCTGTTGTCAATTTTCAAAATTTTCCTGGGGGGAGAACCCCCTGAGACCCCCCTTCGGCGCGTACTTGTGTGGGCCTTAGTCAATGACCTGACAGGTGGGCCGCACTGTAAACATACATTATGCAAGAGCTAAATCTGCCTATTGCATACCTTTCTTTAGGCCTGAAATGTAATATAAACTATTAATTTGACTTTTATTAACATGACAAGACCATCATCAATTCTCGATGCCATCGGATGTCTCCGATATTAAGTGGATTCGAACGATTCAGCCATTGTTTGATGTAATCTATAAATGGTGGAGCAAGGCTAAGCTTCGAACAACCAGTGCGGTGGTTGCAATAAATGCACACATCTTCAAAATCTATTATCTTGACTCGCAATGGAGCACTTTGAACGAAATTTCCAATAAATTCATTTTGCATTATCTATCTTCGGACTATTTTATAGTAAGAATGGTTAGCTCTTTATCTAAATCCACAACAAAGCCCTTCCAATTCAAGCGTATGTACTGGGCTCGTGAGTTTTTAATACTCTCAGCAAGATTATGGCTTGTTTCTTTTTAAACTGCGGATATTATACAGATATTATTTTTATACTGCAGATATTATTTATTTTTATAATGCAAATATTATTTTTATACTGCAGATATTATTATTTTTTTTATACTGCAGATATTTTTTTTTTTATACTGCAGATATTATTATTTTTATACTACAGATATTATTATTATAATGCAGATATTATTATTATTTTTATAATGCAGATATTATTATTATTTTAAAATGCAGATATTATTTTTAAAACGAACATACCTCAATCTTACAGATAGAATATAACAAAATTCTGGATCATTGAGATGGTAACAAAAAACAAGTCTCGATCATTCATATGGTAGAAAAAAAAGAGAGAGAAATGTGGTTTCACGTCCATTGGACACAAACTATGTTATTTCGGGACTAACATATTGCTCAATTTTACGCCAATAAGGATTCATAAGCAGTCTGAGGAAACCGGAGGACCCCAAAAAAAAACCCCACAAGCTTAGGGTCAATAAATTCTAAGCACCTAAATGATCGTTCAATTTGATGACAGAGACTATTTAATCACAACTACTCCTTGTGACTTGACTCAATAGCAGACATGAGGATCTGACGCGCTCCAACCGCCCAACCCTCTTTAGTCCCTAAGATAGTATTAAAAACACTAGCGTATTTCATTTTATAACCAATCAATTCACATCTTTACAAATACATAATGCATTTTTAAGATAGTAGTCGTGTTTAATTTTATAATTGGCAATCGATTCACATCTAGACAAATACAATTGTTTTTTTTTAAAGTAAAATAAGGTTTCATGAAATCAATCGATGTATACTATTAAAAAAAAGTAGGGGATATTTGATTTTGGGGGCATAATACTAAAATATGCAAATGACTACGAAAAAAGTCACTATAGAACCTAACAGAAGAAACATTTCCAGTTACATGTGACGCCCAAACGCACCAATAGCTTCCGCATGGAATGCAGGTGATGCTTGGGATCATCATGGGGGTCCAACCCAAGATTTGCACGACTCTGACTTTGAATGTTACAGTCATTGTGGCATTGAATTCCAGGGTGGAAACATCAGTTTAATTGTTTTAGTGACCAGAAAACAAATTTTGATATGCGTCGGCTTACCCAAAATGAAAGGTTACGTGCCCTTGGCATGCTACAGATCGGCACAACACAGGCGGTTGTGGCGCGGACGATGAATGTTTATCAGTCTGTCATAAGCAGGCTATGGTCCAGATACCGTGATACACAATCTGTACAGGACAGACCACGCTCAGGTCGACCAAGGGCGACAACTCAAGCCCAGGATCGATTTATCCGTACCTTGGCCTTGAGAAATCGTGTCATCACAGCAAATCAGATCAGCACTCGTCTTTAAACAGACACTGGTGTGAGAGTGAGTGGCCAGACGATTCGGAATTGACTGCATAGGGGTCACCTTCGCGCCCGACGTCCTCGCGTGATCCCTTGTTTGAGAGATCATCACATTCAGGCAAGACGTCGTTGGTGTAGGGATCGTCAACACTGGGATAATCGACGCTGGAGCAATGTGATGTTTTCAGATGAGTCAAGGTTCACTGTTGATTTTTTGGACAGACGTAGGAGGGTGTGGCGTCGTCGAAACGAGCGCTTCCAAGACGTTAACGTCATCAGACATGATCGATTTGGGGGTGATTCTGTTATGGTGTGGGGAGGCATCACTGTTGCTGGAAGAACGGCTTTACATGTTGTTGCAGGGCGTGTTACAGGCCAGTACTACCGGGACAACATCTTGGCAGTCCATGTTGTGCCGTTCGCACGACGTCATGGCCGCCGTTTCATCTTCCAGGATGACAACGCAAGATGTCACAGGGCCAGGATCGTTACAGGTTACCTCCAACAACAGAACATCACCACATTACCTTGGCCAGCACTGAGTCCCGACCTCTCCCCCATCGAGCAGTTATACCTACTTTGGGGAAATTCCAGAGAGATTTTAAGCATTGCTGAACTCCAAAACACTGACTCGGAACTAGTGTGTTATTTATTCTGCCCTAAGCCTACATAAAACGTTGCGGCAGTAAGAGAGCATTACTGAACTAGGGAGATATTGACTTGTCTTACAAAATGGCCACTGTCATTGAGAATCACTGTGATTTGAAACTCTTTCTCAAACCATATTTCAGAGTCATGGCAATACTGGGCATACACTACTCTCCAGGTGAAAGTACACCAGTGGAGAAGTTTACCGTGGGTACGTCTAAAAGCACAAAAATGTTCCGATGGAAAAGGATCGTCTATAAAGCCTATCAATGGATAGTCTTGCTCGTGTTATGGTTACAAGTTCTACAATACGCCGTGTGTCTGTTCATCGCCAAGCCTATTATCTCGAAGTCATCAGTCTACAGATTATGTGTTTTTTGTTATTGTCTTCATGCGGCCATTACAACTACAGTCTTCTTGTGGATGTTCAGCAAGGAAGATGGCTTCTACACATTTATTGACCAGTGGAATGATGTATCAAAGAGGGCTGCATCATTAGGATGCAAGCAAGAAGTAATCACAAAACAAGTAAGAAGAATGGTATGCGTTTTGTTGTTAGCAATGGTTATCGTAAATTGTATAGGTGGAGTTGGTTTTTTGATAAACACAAAAGGCGAAAATGAAATCGTCAAAGCAACCCTGGCCCCTTTTGGTCATTCAGTGGTTGGCTTAACGTATGGATTGTATGTTTTTCAGGCAGCAATATGGGCATGTTCGTTATCGTTCTTTGCGGCTGTTACTAAAAGTTTAACCCTGCAATTTGAATTAGTATCTCAGGAAATAACGGGACTTGTTAATACAGCTTCGTCATTTCCTGGTAAACTTCATCACTTCACAAGACTTCATCTGGAAATGTGTGCTTTAGTTTATCTACTGAATCAGTATTACAAGTACATTTTGGCTTCAACTTTTCTTCTAAATATCATAGTACTTTTGTGTATTGGATATTCAGCAATCAAGACAGCTTTTATGGATAGGTCTCTGATAGTTATGATGGCAATCATTTCTGTAAATAGCATTTATAATCTGGTATCACTGTCTGTATTATCAGCAAATCTTCATGAACAGGTACGTTTTTTTTGTTTTTTTTTATTTTTTGAGGGGGGGGGGGTCAAGATATTCACATTACATAAAACAATAAAAATAAGAATCGGATTCTCTATAGAGATTACAGTCAATACACAAAAAGTATCGGATTCTCTATAGAGATGATAGTCAATACACAAATAAGAATTAGCTTCTCTATAAAGATTATAGTCAATACACAAATCAGAATTAGCTTCTCTATAAAGATTATAGTCAATACACAAATAAGAATCAGTAGAGATTACAGTCAATACACAAATAAGAATCGGATTCTCTATAGAGATTATAGTCAATACACAAATAAGAATCGGATTCTCTATAGAGATTATAGTCAATACACAAATAAGAATCGGATTCTCTATAGAGATTATAGTCAATACACAAATAGGAATCGGATTCTCTATAGAGATGATAGTCAATACACAAAAAGAATTAGCTTTTCTATAAAGATTATAGTCAAAACACAAATGAGAATCAGTAGAGATTACAGTCAATACACAAATAAGAATCGGATTCTCTACAGAGATGATAGTCAATACACAAATAAGAATTAGCTTCTCTATAGAGATGATAGTCAATACACAAATCAGAATCAGCTTCTCTATAAAATTTATATTCAAAGGTTGAATTTTTTTTAAAAAAAACAACATTTCTTTTATTTCTTAAGGTTCACAAACCATTACCAAGCCTATACAAATTGAGAGGTCAAAATGTCAACTTGGAAGATTTGCTGGAGGTAGTAATCCTTTCTATTGTCCGGGTTTTTTTTATCTGATATATTAAATTGATATGTGTAACTGGTAGCTGGTGCCGGAATATTAGGTCTGGGAGCTGGGGATGCTGGTTTTATGTGCCATTTTGCCAAAAGCTCGGGGTTTGCTCCCTAATAGTGCCTAAGAAGTTCCGGGATGTCCAATGATTGTATATGGAATTAGATTGTGCAGATGCCCAAATTTGAAATTAAACATACAATATACAAGAGCTAAATCTGTCAATTACAGGTCTTTTTTTATGTCTGAAAGTTTGTCTAAATTATTAATTAGACATTAATTAACTTATCCAGACTATAATCAACTGTCTATGTCATTGCTAGCCTGTGATATTTACTGGATTAAAATGCGATCTGCTTCTCAACGCTCATTAATGATTAAATCATAAATGGATAATATCGAGACTATGTTTTTTGTCGTACCGACTTAAGTAATGATGATCGAGGCTAAATTCGCTAAATTCTTGGTTTAGAGTTGATCAATTTCACTGCAATTTTCATCAAATTCCCTTTACATTATATAGTTTTTAACTATTATAGTGCAAACAGTAAGCTCTTTATCTAATCTCCCATAATGTATCTTTAATGTAAGAGAGTGTGTGTGGGTGTGTGTGTGTGTTATAACCATTCGACTGATTAAAATGATATGTACCGTTTTTCGAATCAAAAGTATTAACTATGATATTTAGAAGTGGAGAGAAAACAGGCTCTTCGGAAACCAGATTCATATTAGTGGTAAATTTTAAAGATGGTGATTACAAATAAAGATACCTTCTGTCGTCTTTTTATGATATTGTATTGCTATACAATCGGATTAAAATACAGATTCTATTTCGTTTCGTTTTTTTTTTATAGTTCAAAAGTTTGTTTTACTTGTTTTTACTACACTAGGATCTGGAAGAGTTGTTATCATTGACGTGTTCTGGATGATGTGAGGGATTAGCCAATGAAACGGTCTGTTACGGTGAGCTTTTTGGCGTGTGGTACACGGAACTGTGGGCAATCCACTAGAAACATCATTGCTGATTGGTTAATCAAATGTCTGGCGTCATAGGGTCAAAAACCGCTCGTATGACCCCTGACACGAACTCTCAGTATAACTGGTCCTATCGTCAGGTAGTGTAGGCCATCAAAAGTATAAAATAAACGAAACGAAATATAGATCTGTATTTAAATCAGATTGTATTGCCATAATGTTTCTAGGTGAGCCTATTTATAGCCAAGCTGCAGGAATCGTCAGTGGGAATAACAGCCATAGATATTCTGTTGGTCAAACAAGGAACATTGCTTACGGTAAGAATTCAATAGAGTCACAGTTAATGGCAGAAGGTTGAAGATATATCCCCGCGTACAAACTGGGTGATTTGATGATATATATGGACTAAAAACATATTCAAATTAATTAATTTGTCATAATTTTGCTTCAAATCCTTCTCAAACATTGTAATTGCCATGTTTAGGTCACGTGACTTACCTCTCTCGGAAGTCGGAGGAGAATCCATTGCATACATAAGACGATGTTGTCTTTAATCGCTTACTATTTATTACAAATATCGAATCCTAATTAAATTCTCGGATTATCGACTACCCGCGTCTTTTCCCGTCATTTTTATCTCAAAAGTGTTGAACGTCTAACTCTTCATAAAGTTTATCAACTTGTACATCAAGCGCTCAATGTTCGCGTGTGACCTTTGACATCACGCGTGCAGAAATTCCTAATCCACTGTCGATTAGGGGAACCTTTACATTTTTGTAAACGCTCCATGAGTGTTATTCGGGGAATCCAGTATTTTTCTAGTAAGATTGGATATCTCTACTTTCCATATATACCATCTTTAAGGTACGCGGATCAAATTCAAAAATGTAACGAAATTACTAAATATGCTTGTCTACAATTTTCAAATAATATTGTGGAGTCAAGGAAATAATCGTAATGGGGCTACCGCACTAATTTAAAGTGTATATTCTTGTTTAATTATATGAGTGACTTGATTACTAGGACTATGTTTAGGGGGTAATGGTGCCCAAGTTAGGGATGGGGCACGTGTAGGGGCATCTAGTGTGAGTGGGAGAGTTATCTCCCTTTGCGACAAAAATATTTTGAGAATTCGAAGTGGCGAGAGAGAGATGGGGATTAACGTCCACCCAACACAAACTAGGTCATTTCGGGACTAACATATGGTTCAATTTTATTTCAATAATTCGCTTCCGAATTAGCAGTGGGGTGAAACCGGAGGACGCGGAGAAAACCCACGATGTTAGACAGGCGACCCTACTCCTTTGAATCGAATCCACGCCAGTTGACTCAATGACAGGCCTTATGATACAACGCGCACGCGCTGACCATTCGGCCATCTCGTAATTTCTGACTCATATCTTGACTTGAATATAATTACAATGATGAGTGCTTTCTCATAATACAAATATGTGTTTTATATTTTTCAGCTGTTTGGCGTTTTCCTAACATATTTGTTTGTTGTCATCCAATTTTCTCTCTGAATGTGAATGAAGTACGGTTGACTGAATCAGGAAAGCGTTGTGGCAGACACCTGCACATTCTACAGTTTAGCAAAAACTATTAAATCTTTTCTTTTTTATTGGAGGAGGGGGTGGGGATTTTACGAATATCTGATATTCCATGGGGTTATTTATTGTGGTGATATTCGATATTGTTCTGAGAGAGAGAGACAGACAGACAGAGAGAAAGACAGAAACTAGGAAATTTCGGGACTAACATATGGTTTAATTTTATTTCAATAATTGGCTTGCGTGTAGGGATCTTTAGCAGTGGGAGGAGGAAACCGGAGGACCCGAGAAAACCTGCGGAGTTGGACAGGCGACCCTACTCACTGTCACGTACAACCGGGGATTCGAAACCACGCCAGTTGAAAGACCTTATGATTCGCTAACCATTCCCCCCACACACACACACCCACACACACCGACCGACACTTCCCACTTCCCAAGTTCTTAGAACCATGCACTACTGTGGCTGAAGCCAAGGCGGACGACTTCAGTATTGGCACCAATTTTACGACGATATCACGATATCATTAGATTCAATATTGTACACGCGGCAGGGGTTCGTTGTTTTAGAGTTTCTGACCATGTATAAAGGAAGTTATAGGTCAGTAACACGTGATTAAAATACTTGCTTAAAGCAAGTTCTTAGGGCCACCCACTACTGTGGCTGGAGGCACGACGGGTGACTTCAGTATTGGAACCATTCCTAGCGACAGTGGCTCGCCGACTTAGAACATATTGTATTCAGTTCTTGATGGTTGTGGTAGACAAAAGGCATGTCGAAGGGGCACTGCTGTCCAAGCCTGGAAAGTTTTACATGTATCCTAGATAAATAGTGGGGAGCTAATAATGACAGAATTTTAAATGCACGCAGTGTTCAAATACAACAAAGCTGTCTCTTTTCCTAGCAGTTTCATAGACTCAACCAGATAGCTTGTTGCTGACGTCATTCGGATGTCAACTACCGAAATTTAGTGCCCCAATACAATTTGATTAAAACACAGATCCTATTTCGTTCCGTTTTTTATAGTTCAAAATTTCATTTTACTTGTCTTCACAACACTAGGATCACACTGATCCGCAGTGAATATTTGCTTGGCCGCGATAATCACTGATAAGGATGACATTGATGCGGCTTAATGAGCTAGAAATATTAACTTTTTTCCTGCCACAAATTAAATTCTAAAACATTTTTTGTATATATTGGAAAAATAAATAAAGGCGTTTGGCGTATTTGTAGGTAAAAATTATTTCCGATTTAGTGTAAATGGGTATTAAAATGACTAAAATGCAGCATTCTCTCCGAAGCAGTTATGTCTTATGTAAACAATGCACGCGCCATTCAGCCAATGATTCACACCGCGTGCTGTGACAGCACGTGTTAAGGCAGTCATCTATGACAGAGATATTATACGAGACTCGTAATTCTCTGTGAGACAGATTGCTCTAGGATCTGAAAGAGTTGTTATATAACAGGTTTTCTAGTTGATGTGAGGAATTAGTCAATGAAACGGCCTGTTACGGCGAGTTCTTGGCGTACGCTGCACGGAACAGTGGGTAAACCCCTAGAACGTCAACGCTGATTGAGTAATCATTGTCTGGCGTCATAAGGTCAAAAGCCGTTCATACGACCCCTGACGCAACCTCTCAATACAACTTGTCAGATCTTCATGCAGTGTAGGCTATCGAGAGTATATAAAAACGAAATCAGATTGTGTCAACAATGTCATATCACAAGGAGCCACGGTGGCTAGGTTGTTAAGACGCTGGCTCGCTAGCCTGGAGGTTGGGTGTTCGATCACTGCATTGGCCGAGAAAGTTCATCCAGATTTTCCGACGTGGTTTCCCCTTGTCAGTGGTGCAGGACAGAGGGCCTGACAAGCTGTCTAGTCCTTCGGATGAGACGAAAAACCGAGGTCCCGTGTATACATTGGAATGCACGTAAAAGATCCCTTGGTAGTTGGAATTCGATATAAGAGTAGGCGATAGTGCCGCTCCCCGGGCAAAAATTTCCCTCATAGCACACTGTATGGCGTATGCCCAGGTTAGGAGCAAAACAGTAGGACGTTAAACCCCATTTCATCATTTCATCACTGCGGAATGAGAAAGCAAAAATGTACTAAAAAAATCGGTTTTAAACTGGTTAAATCCAGTTAATTATAATTAATGGGTGGACAAGACTCATGATCTGTAAATGTGGAATGAGCTTCAGGGCCTTAATTTAAATAAATCTATGATATTTTGTCCGATTAGGAGCACGTGCTATCGCTGGTTTATCTGATCCTGAATAAAATACACATTAATACATTGGGAATTTTGTTTGTTAAGTCTCGTGTCATACTCCCTTTGGCGGAGTGTCGAGATCAAAACGCGATATAAATTACAAAATGAAATGAAATGAAATGGGGTTTAACGTCCTACTGTTCTGCTCCTAACATGGGCTAATGAAGACGGGCATACGCCATACAGTGTGCTATGAGGGAAATTTTGCCCGGACAGCGGCACTACGGCCTACTCTTATATCGAATTCCAACTGCCAAGGGATCTTTGACGTGCACGCCAATGTGTACACGGGACCTCGGTTTTTCGTCCCATCCGAACGACTAGACAGCTTTCCTTGTTAGCCCCCTCCGTCCTGCATCACTGACAAGGGAGAACCACGCCGGAAAATCTGGATGAACTTTCTCGGCCAATGCAGGGATCGAACACCCGACCTCCAGGCTAGCGAGCTAGCGTCTTACCCACTTAGCCACGTGATCCCAGATATAGATTACAAAGTAGAAAATCAAAAGTAAAATAGAAAACTTTGTCTAGAAGGGTTGTTTGGGGTGTAAACCCACAATTTTACGCATTTAGTCTTCAAAAACATCAAGCTGAAGACTGAATTTCTACTATCCATTTTAGACTTTAGACTTCATACTTTCTACTCACAATTTTCTAACCTATATAGGGGCCTGTTTCTCGAAATTTTAACTAAGATAAAATCCAAATTTTAGTAATTTGATTGGATAATATTAGATTGATTTTAGTGCTTAGCCAATCACAAATTGAAGTATCTACTAAAATTTGGATTTTATCTTTAGTTAAAATTTCGTGAAACAGGTCCCTGATTTTCTCCAATAGTATGGTAGCTGATTGAGGCCGTGTAATGTTCGCCCTCCAATAGTATGGTAGATGATTGAGGCCGTGTAATGTTCGCCCTCCAATAGTATGGTAGATGATTGAGGCCATGTAATGTTCGCCCTCCAATAGTATGGTAGATGATTGAGGCCGTGTAATGTTCGCCCTCCAATAGTATGGTAGCTTATTGAGGCCGTGTAATGTTCGCCCTCCAATAGTATGGTAGCTGATTGAGGCCGTGTAATGTTCGCCCTCCAATAGTGTGGTAGCTGATTGAGGCCGTGTAATGTTCGCCCTCCAATAGTATGGTTGCTGATTGAGGCCATGTAATGTTCGCCCTCCAATAGTATGGTTGCTGATTGAGGCCATGTAATGTTTGCCCTCCAATAGTATGGTAGCTTATTGAGGCCATGTAATGTTCGCCCCCAATAGTATGGTAGCTTATTGAGGCCGTGTAATGTTCGCCCTCCAATAGTATGGTAGCTTATTGAGGCCATGTAATGTTCGCCCTCCAATAGTATGGTAGCTGATTGAGGCCGTGTAATGTTCGCCCTCCAATAGTATGGTAGCTTATTGAGGCCGTGTAATGTTCGCCCTCCAATAGTATGGTAGCTGATTGAGGCCGTGTAATGTTCGC